GTGTGTGCGTTGTGTGTGTGTGTGTGTGTGTGTGTGTGTGTGTGTGTGTGTGTGTGTGTGTGTGTGTGTGTGTGTGTGTGTGTGTGTGTGTTTGTGTGTGTGAGCTCAGGTACTGACCCCTGAAAGAAAATGTCATGAAGCACAGCAGAGTGAGGCCTCACTGAGACAGTACCTCTACCCACTGAGCCGAAAGTGAATCGACCTCCTACTCTGGTCCCCAGGTACTGCCCAGGAAAAGCTATATACCACTGAGCCACTACCTCTACCATCCAGTAGACCTCCTGGGTTGTCAGTGAGGTATTTCCCTTAAACAGACTCATTGGTAGGCCTTTGTTCATTCGATGGGAGTGCATCTTGAGACAGAAGTTGGCAAGATACATCAACAACTTTTCAGACGTGGGCAAGATACTGACCAGTGTGGTATTTCCCTGAAACAGACTCCAAGTCCTTTGCCTCAAAGACAGGTTGCACCAGACTTCCACCTCCGTTGGGTTGAGTTTTCAGTGCTGCTGCAGCTCTCCTTGCCGCTTCGTCAACCTGTTAGAAGCAAAGAGCAAAGAGCAAAGAGCAAGGAGCACAGCAAAAGCGTTCATCGATAAACATACGTAAAGACAGTAAACTGAAAAGTTTGAAACTACTTTTCACGGAGAGAAGCCTTGGTCAATCCCAGTCCAGCCAAACCAAGCCAGAGCAGGGTGAACCTCGCAAAGGTGTCCAAGTACAGGTCCCAGCATAACCATGGTTTGGTTTGGTTTGGTTTGGTTATTTGGTTTGGTTTGGTTTCTTTCATTTCATTTCGTTCAGCTGCGTTTCGTTTCATTTCATTTCGTTTCGTTTCGTTTCGTTTCGTTTCGTTTCGTTTCGTTTCGTTTCGTTTCGTTTCGTTTCATTTCATTTCATTCATTTTGTTCCGTTCCATTTCGTTTCATTTCATTTTCATTTTTTCTCGTTTCATTTTCTCTGGTCTGGTCTGGTCTGGCCTGGTCTGGTTTGGTTTGGTTTGGTTTGGTTTGGTTTGGTTTGGTTTAGTTTGGTTTCATTCAGTTTGGGTTGGTTTGGTCCGGATGGGTTTGGTTTGGTTCAATTCAGTTTGACCTAGTTTGGTTTGGTTTGGTTTGGGTTTGGGTTTGGGTTTGGGTTTGGGTTTGGGTTTGGGTTTGGGTTGGGTTTGGGTTGGGTTGGGTTTGGTCTCCTTTTGTTTGGTTTCGTTTGGTTTCATTTCGTTTCGTTTCGTTTTGTTTAGTCTGGTCTGGTCTGGTTTGGTTTCGCTCAATTCAGTTTGGTTTGGTTTCTCTCAATTCAGTTTGGTTTGGTTTGGTTTTGTTTGCTTTGGTTTGGTTTGGTTTGGTCTGGTCTGCTCTGGTTTGGTCTGGTTTGGTTTGGTTTGGTGTGGTGTGGTTTGGTTTGGTCTGGTTCAGTTTAATTCAGTGCAGTTTGGTTTAATTCGTTTTGGTTAGGTCCGGTTCGGTTTTGTTCTTTTCAGTTTGGTTTGGTTACATTGGGCTTGATTGTGTTCTGTCCAGTTTCGCTTGGTTTGGGTTTGGTTGGCTTGATTGTGCTTTTTTTTTCCAGTTTGGTTTGGCTTCGTCGGGCTTGATTTTTTTCTGTCCAGTTTGGTTTGGTTTAAATTGGTTGGGCAACTTGGGCTGGATTTCGTTGTGTCCAGTCTGGTTTGGTTTGGTTTGGTTTGGTTTGGTTTGGTTGGGCTTCATTGTGTTCTGTCCAGTTTGGTCTGATGAATCCGGTTCAGCATAACCATGGTTTGGTTAAATTTGGACATTGTCCTTTCAGTTCAGTTTTATTTTTGTTTGGTTTCCATTCAGTTTGGCTTCCTTCCGTAAGGTTCAATACGTGTTTATGAACTTTGCCTTCCTTCACATATGTTAGGGGGCTTTGACAGACTGTTTGACTGTTTGACAGTATATATATACCGTCACAAACAGAACTGCCAGGTAAACCGTAGGCAGAGAGAGAGATGAGGACAACAAACGAGGGGCTGTGTATACATATCATCACAAACAGATATATATATAAATACAATACATACTCCAATTACATTGTTACTTTTTTATTCAGTCTTTTAGGTACTTTTTTTGTTCGTTCGGGATTACTTGCATCTGTTCATAGCTTTGCCACAGATTCGCAACGAGGAATCTTTTTATTAAGTTTTTTTTTATGTTTAAATAAATACATAAATTAAAAATTCATAGCGCACTTAGAGGTAAGGTATTACCTACAAAAATAGATGCATCCATGCTAGAGATTACCGTATCTCCTATTGTAATTCCACGAGGGTATAATATATATCTTTTTTCTCCATCTTCGTAATTTTCTAAACATATATATATACATATATATAGCCGTTACTAGGCGGCCATGCTGTGCCTCTAGTGCCAGCGGCGTGTCTGGAGTGTATTTTTTGGCTGTGACAGACCTTTCTTTGTTTCGTGGATGTTTTGCTG